TTTCTAAAGCGCCAATTCACAACACAAGTCATCTCAAGGCACTTTACAGTTCAACCAGATCATCCAGTCAAATTGATTAAAAGTTTTCCATCTAAGGAAAACCAGTTGATTACATCGACTCAAAGGCAATCTCTCACACTAAGCATGCTTGTAGCGACGGTGGAGAGGAAAAACTCCCTTTTAACAGGAAGAAACCTCCAGCAGAACCAGGCTCAGTGTGAGCGGCCATCTGCTGAGGCCGACTGGGGTTCAAGGAGACAGAAGCAGAGATACAGAAAGCAGCTGAAAAAAGGTGGACCCGTCATGGAAACACACAGCCAGGCAGACGAGCTCTGAGCCAGCTCCCATGCCAGAGGACGAAAAGAGCAAATCCAGTTAGTCACAGTCAGAGAAACAGGACTACACTGGAAAACAAGCCAGACGAGTCCTTCCTCTCTACATCACTGCTCTGGAAGTTCACCAGTGTCTGAGAGGCTCTAATTCTGCAGAGAAATAAATCTAAACAACTGACAAATCTTTTATAAAATTAGTGTACCTCCATCCTAAAAGACGTCTCAACAATAAAGATATTAGCTCCATGCTTCCCACTGCAATGGTTCCCAATCAGTTCAGGTGTATAAATCTTTGCAACTCATCAGGTCTGAACCACTTAGCTCCTTTTGGGTCATTTTAACCTATATGTTTATGCTGTTTATTTAAAGCTGCTCTTTACTTTCATTTTTTATATTCTTTTTTACAGATATTAACTTCTTAAGGTCCTATAGCCAGGCTTATATTGAGGGTTGTCCATATAAAAGTCTCTACAGTTTCTATCATAGACTGCATCTACATGAGCGGCTCCTGGTTTGAAAAGATAACTGAAAACAGAACCTTGATCCCTGGTGTCATTGCCCTCTCCACACATGACCGTGCCTCCAGGCATCAGATCAGATCCTGCACGTTTCTACGGCCTCAAACAGCGGCCATTCTTTCTGCCGTAATCAAAGCAGCGTTGTGCTGCTGACCCCTTTAGCAAAGTCCAAACTTTTTCCTAATAAACGTCAAATCAAATATGGTTTCACGTTTCTGAAGTAGAGTAACTTATTTTCTATTAAGGTAGAGGATCAATTCAGCGTTTAATAGGTAAAGACAGCAATGCAGTTAGCCTAACTGGAATATAATAAGATGTAGCGCAACGATGCATCTCTGAAATGTTCAGGAAGCATCTCCTCCAGGCGCTTTTATTCACACTTGCTCACCTTTCAAACAGCAGCATCAATTGAAGGTAGTTAAGATAACAGTGAAATGGTTATAATTAGAATATTAACGGGTAAATCCATCGTCTCCAACCATTCCTGCCTCTAAGATCCATCTGTCTTACAATAATAATAATAATGTGTACAGATTTATGCTGAAAACATGAACTGAAAAAAATGTCTTCTGTAAACTAGTCAGGCCAGACTAGATTTATTCAATTATGATTGGAATCACCTTCCAGTTCTAACAGTCAGATTTTTCCTGATTTAAACAGATTTTATTGTCATTTTGTATACAGTGTATACAAATCAAAATTTCATTTTGTACAGCCCTCATGACATTTCCATTTCTTAAAGTGCAGCAGTGATTAAATGTAAACGTTAGGAGAAAAAAACATGGTGCATTATTTGTTCACATCTTGATTTCAGGCAAGTTTGCTTGTTTCTTTTCACTAATCTTTCCATTTTACATTATGTTCTAGTTTAGCAGACCCACAGCATGATGCTAGCCTCGTGAGACCATCCTGATCTCGCGAGCTTTCAAGATTTCACTCGCTAATCAGTCTGGAGATTCTCCATTGAAGAAAGTTTGGAGCCGTTCACCAAACGAACGTCCAATCAGCGTTGGCTTTGAGGCGGGTTGAGGTGTGACGCAACGAGAAGCTCGACAGTTCAGTCTAGAGAACATGGCGGCTTCAGCCGATGAAACTAGCGTTAGCGTGGCTATCGAGCAAGTTTTATCGGAATTACAGAGTATTTCTTCACTGAAAGAAGAGCAAAACACTGCTCTGGAGGCTTTTCTCAGAGGAAAAGATGTTTTTGCTCTTCTCCCGACTGGTTTCGGAAAGAGTAGCCTGGCTTGTGGTTGTGTTTTCGTCGTCGTTGCTGTTAGAGTCATATGCTTCGTTGATCTGATTGGTTTATTTGGCCCGTCTATCACCAACATAGGCCAATCAGCTAACCAGTATTTTCTCCCCTTCCCAAAATTACTTCAACGGAAGGTTTCCAGATGGATATGCGGAGCAAATCCATCTGGTGGAGTCAGGTTAGCATGATGCAGCAACCACTGTGTTTAAGATCACAAAGAAGGAGTCTTCATAAAATGACCATCATGGCTGTAAGTTGTGAGCATCCTCTTCAGAAGTAGAGTCTTAAGTCAGAGGCTTCTCCAGAACCAGAGAAAGACAGACCACTACAGAAGATCCTTTCTCCCTACAGCTACCAACAAGCTATGGAGTATTTTTTTTATTAAAACCAGCGTTTTCTTGTCATTACACTTTCACAAGTACAGAACTCTCTGCATTTATCCACTTGTGCATCAGCCAGGGAGCAGTGTGGGGTTAGGGGTCTTTGCTCAGGGAGCCAGAGTGGCAGTGGGGCTTGAACTCAGAGAACAAAGCATTAGTGCACTAACCTTCATTAGCGAGAAGGGTCTTGCCTAAGGACCCACACCCAGCTGGGATACGACCCCAGGCTTCCTGTTTGCAGGACAGGTGGCTTACCACTTGAGCTAGCCAATTGCTTTACATCCTTTTCTTCACATTTACAGCAGTGGACGGATTCACAACAGTAGTACTTGAGTTAAAGTATTGCTACTCATAGCCAAACCTTACTCACAAGTAAAAGTTACTCAGTCCAACATCTACTCAAGCTAAAGTATTGAAGCACTCACTTAAAATACTTAAGTATTTAAAAGCACTAATTAATTCTTCAGCATGAAAATGCCACAAAAAAAAGCTAGTTTGATTATCATTTCTTTTTTTCAAACCAAAAATAAAATAGGAATTTATTGATTCTCCTCACACCTTCACTATGGGATAGATGTTTAATGTTTAATCGATTACCACTGACAAACTGCAACTCTGATATAAGAACTCATCCTACTGAACAACTTGGTCACATGGCAAAAACTAACCTTTGATGATATTATAAACTGCAAATAATATCTGCTCTGAGGGTCTCACAGTTGCAGAATATCATGCAAATCTCTAAAACAGTGGTTTCCATATTCATTCCTAATGGCTGCCATCTGCCATGTTGAAATTTCCTTTCAAAAAAAAAAAAACAGCAACACTGAATAAAAAATCTAAGCTGAGCCAAAAGGAACAACTATTAGCTTCATCCAAATGTATTGAAGTAAAAGGTACAATACTTGACTTTCAAATGTAGTGGAATAAAAATTAAAAAAAATTACTAGGGTAAAGATACTCTTAAAAACTACTTAATTACTTAGAATATTCTAGTAAATTTATTTAAATTTAATTTATTTACTTTCCACCACTGCTCATTTAAGAGGCTGGGGTTTATCTTTCAATGTGTTCCTGCCACCAACTGATAGGAGGCATTGCTGCATCAGGGGTTGTAGATTCATACTGGTTGAATATATATTGTTGCAAAAAACTTTTCAGATTTAACTTCTAAACCTGTTTTCCTGTCAATGGAACATTTCACGCCAAATGTATGTATTAGCAAACAACAAGGAACAAATGCAAAGCTTACATTTTGTCCTCATCATTTTATTCCATAAAGAGTCAGAGGAGGATTTAACATTAGGCAATACTAGGCAGTTGCCTAGGGCCCCAAGTTCCTGGAAGCCCCATAAAATGCCATCAGAACGTTTATAATATTAATTATGTCTCAGCCCCCCCTTCAGTGTCCACCATATTGGATCAGTCCATTTGCTGCACATGTTCAGAAAGGTCCAAACAGACAGCAGCAGTGTTGCCAACTTAGCGACTTCTCTGACCCCTCTAGCACTTTTATTTCAAAAAAAGCTCCTGGCGCCAAATCTAGCGACTTTTTTCTGCTACTGGAGACTTTGCCGCCAACATCTAAAAGCAGCGAACTCTGCTCTCCAGAGCAAGCAGATTGGTAACCCCGCCTCCTGCTCTCCTCTCTCTTGTCTGCTGTCATGATTCATGCAGCTATTATTTCATCCAAATGAAAAATGGAGAACAGATAAGCAGATCATGGCTTGTCTACAGTGAAAAGAAGGACTGGGTTATTTACTTTGGCCTTTTTGGAAACACAGGAAGGAGCAATCAGCTAAGTGAGCTTAGTGCTTGGAAAAAATCTTTCATTCCTTTAGAGACAGCATGAAAAGTCAGCTGAGTACAAAACATAGAGAGGAAAACAAGAAGAAAAGGGACAAGAAGAGAGGGACACAACCTAGAACAGATAATCTATGTCTATTCTATTAGAGGGCCCCCTCTGTCTTTGCCTAGGGCCCCACGTTTCCTAAATCCGCCCCTGTACAGGATAATGGAAGCAGCAGTCTGACTGGATTCCTTTTTAAAAAAGCAGGACTTTTTAGTGTAAACTGAGCTTAACGTTAAACTTTTATTTTAAAGCCAGACGTGTCTGTTTTAATGGAGGCATTTTCTCTGTTTTGATGCGATCTTCAGCTTCCTGTAAATCACTTTTATTTTACCCGCTGCTGTACAGAAGGCATCTAAACTCCTATTAAACAGCCGTTAAGCACCAACTAATCGCTTTTAAAAGTGATCAACTTTAGAAATATAAGTTTATAAAGTCGCAGATCTCTTCCTGTTAATGAGGTAATATCTGGTTCCTCTGATCTTCTGGAGTTTTTTTTTCTTTTCTCTCAACAGGAAATGTTTTTTCTTTTACTGGATCTCCTCCATAAAGTACAGTAGAGGTGAGGCGACTGCGAACTGCTTTACACTGACGCAGAACAAATGAGAGCGCGTGCCGCTCCGCAGAGGTTGCTGGTTCAACTCCGGCCCCGAGCGGAGCTTTACTCACAGGTTCTGAAGCGCAGGTCTTTGTCCTCCTCGGAGCCGAACTCCTGCAGCAGGGAGATGAAGAGCACTCCGAAGGAGTTCTGGATGCCGAACACCGAGCCGTTACACCACATGGATGCCAGCATGACCACCCAGCCCCAGCCGCCCTCCGGGTGGACGAACTCCGCCGCAGGAGGAGAGCTTTTCTCCGCCAGCTCCACTTTATACTCCCCGTTCTCCTGCCTCTCCTCCTCCGGCTCCTGCTTTGACAGAACATCTCCTGCTGCTTTACTTCCAGCCTCTGTCATGCTGCTCTCCGCTGTCATTGCCTCTCAGAGCTGAAGCGGGTCGGAATAGAAACAAAGTTCCTGACGGGTCCAGATGAGTGGAAGGACTTCTGTCTGAGATGATTGGGTCAGGCTGAGTTCACTGAGAGCAGGCTGTGGTTCCTGAGGTTCTCCGAACAGGGGTGGGGGGGCACAACTGTCAAAAAAGCTGCTGCTGAAGGGTTATAAATAGACAGCACCGGAGGGGCGGGGCTCCGGGGAATCCTGCAGCTCATTGGGCGCAGAGAAGTTCCTGCTGCTGAGAAGTTCCTGCAGCAGAGAAGTTCCTGCTGCTGAGAAGTTCCTGCAGCAGAGAAGTTCCTGCTGCTGAGAAGTTCCTGCTGCTGGGAAGTTCCTGCAGCAGAGAAGTTCCTGCTGCTGAGAAGTTCCTGCAGCAGAGAAGTTCCTGCTGCTGAGAAGTTCCTGCAGCAGAGAAGTTCCTGCTGCTGAGAAGTTCCTGCAGCAGAGAAGTTCCTGCTGCTGAGAAGTTCCTGCTGCTGGGAAGTTCCTGCAGCAGAGAAGTTCCTGCTGCTGAGAAGTTCCTGCAGCAGAGAAGTTCCTGCTTCTGAGAAGTTCCTGCTGCTGAGAAGTTCCTGCAGCAGAGAAGTTCCTGCTGCTGAGAAGTTCCTGCTGCTGAGAAGTTCCTGCAGCAGAGAAGTTCCTGCTGCTGAGAAGTTCCTGCAGCAGAGAAGTTCCTGCTGCTGAGAAGTTCCTGCTGCTGGGAAGTTCCTGCAGCAGAGAAGTTCCTGCTGCTGGGAAGTTCCTGCAGCAGAGAAGTTCCTGCAGCAGAGAAGTTCCTGCTGCTGAGAAGTTCCTGCAGCAGAGAAGTTCCTGCTGCTGAGAAGTTCCTGCTGCTGGGAAGTTCCTGCAGCAGAGAAGTTCCTGCTGCTGGGAAGTTCCTGCAGCAGAGAAGTTCCTGCTGCTGAGAAGTTCCTGCAGCAGAGAAGTTCCTGCTGCTGGGAAGTTCCTGCAGCAGAGAAGTTCCTGCTGCTGGGAAGTTCCTGCTGCTGAGAAGTTCCTGCAGCAGAGAAGTTCCTGCTGCTGAGAAGTTCCTGCAGCAGAGAAGTTCCTGCTGCTGGGAAGTTCCTGCAGCAGAGAAGTTCCTGCTGCTGGGAAGTTCCTGCAGCAGAGAAGTTCCTGCTGCTGAGAAGTTCCTGCAGCAGAGAAGTTCCTGCTGCTGGGAAGTTCCTGCAGCTGAGAAGTTCCTGCTGCTGAGAAGTTCCTGCAGCAGAGAAGTTCCTGCAGCAGAGAAGTTCCTGCTGCTGAGAAGTTCCTGCAGCAGAGAAGTTCCTGCTGCTGGGAAGTTCCTGCAGCTGAGAAGTTCCTGCTGCTGAGAAGTTCCTGCAGCAGAGAAGTTCCTGCAGCAGAGAAGTTCCTGCTGCTGAGAAGTTCCTGCAGCAGAGAAGTTCCTGCTGCTGAGAAGTTCCTGCAGCAGAGAAGTTCCTGCTGCTGAGAAGTTCCTGCTGCTGAGAAGTTCCTGCTTCTGAGAAGTTCCTGCAGCAGAGAAGTTCCTGCTGCTGAGAAGTTCCTGCTGCTGGGAAGTTCCTGCAGCAGAGAAGTTCCTGCTGCTGAGAAGTTCCTGCAGCAGAGAAGTTCCTGCTGCTGGGAAGTTCCTGCAGCTGAGAAGTTCCTGCTGCTGAGAAGTTCCTGCAGCAGAGAAGTTCCTGCAGCAGAGAAGTTCCTGCTGCTGAGAAGTTCCTGCAGCAGAGAAGTTCCTGCTGCTGAGAAGTTCCTGCAGCAGAGAAGTTCCTGCAGCAGAGAAGTTCCTGCTGCTGAGAAGTTCCTGCTGCTGAGAAGTTCCTGCAGCAGAGAAGTTCCTGCTGCTGGGAAGTTCCTGCAGCTGAGAAGTTCCTGCTGCTGGGAAGTTCCTGCAGCTGAGAAGTTCCTGCTACTGAGAAGTTCCTGCAGCAGAGAAGTTCCTGCTGCTGGGAAGTTCCTGCAGCAGAGAAGTTCCTGCAGAAGAGAAGTTCCTGCAGCAGAGAAGTTCCTGCTGCTGGGAAGTTCCTGCAGCAGAGAAGTTCCTGCAGAAGAGAAGTTCCTGCAGCAGAGAAGTTCCTGCTGCTGGGAAGTTCCTGCTGCTGAGAAGTTCCTGCTGCTGGGAAGTTCCTTTTGCTGAGAAGTTTCTGCAGCAGAGAAGTTCCTGCTGCTGAGAAGTTCCTTCTGCGGAGAAGTTCCTGCAGGTCCTCAGAGCCAACACAGGCTTCCTCCAGAGGTGCTACTGCACCCAAACAATGGTGAAAGTAGAGAATCTGTAAGCAGAGACAGTAGTTGCTTAGGGGGACCAGGACCTCTTATGGGCCCCCTCACTAACACCTGATGGCCCCCACAATTGTCTACACAATTGTAGACTAGGAAATGTAAAACATACTCTCATATAATAAGTTTCTAACCTCAATAAAGATCTTAAAAGAACGATGTATGTGAGTATTTTCAATGGCGTAACGTCACAACAATTTTGTATCCATTGTCGCTATCACATTGTACGTAACGGTTATGCTCTGGATTACCCATAATTTCAAGTCGTAGCGTAAAAAAATAAAATACTCAAATACATTGATCTTTTAAGATCTTTATTGCGGTTTGAAACATATTATATGAGAGTACTTTTTACCAACCGTCTAATGAACTATACACAGTTATTAACATAGTAATTAAAAGTACCACTGTCTGCTTTGCTATCGGTGTCGTGTTTAAACGGCTCACCATCATGTTGAAATCTGCCATGTGTTGCTGTATAAATACGGTCTGGTCAGTCAATCTAATACCAGGTAGGTTTAAGAGAATCTGTCCGCACCAATACATCTGCAAAGAGACGTCAAGTCCACAATTGCATAGGGGCCAACCAGATGTCAGTGACGGAGCTGTTAAAAGGGTCAGGGCCCCTAAGCAACTGCAGTCTCTGCTTACCAATAGTTAAGCCATTGAGTATTTTATTTTTTACACTACGACTTGGAATTATGAGATAAGCATCTCCCTGAAATGAGTTTTTGGAACTTAGGATGTCTGTAACATGTTGTGGTGCGCGCGCGGTCACCAATGGTTTCATTAATGGTGCGCAGTCACTATTATTTTACGTGTGTTATGTTTGATCATACAGCCTACTACTGAGAATTGCATAACTGTATCTTCTTGGCCCATTCATGGAACTGCTGCCGTATCCTGAACCTTTATCACGTGTTGTACTTCCTATGGGGCCCACCCAGATAATGTTGCTTATGGGCCTATTGTTGCGTCATTATGCCATTGCACCCAAACATGTTACTATAACTGTACTTCATCATATTTTAGTCAGTGGAGAGTAAAAAAGCGTTTGTTAAAAAGGATACTAAAGAACAGAGTACCTCATTCAATTCTATTCACTTTATTTCTATAGCACCAATTCACAACACATAATCTCAAGGCACTTTACAGTTCACCAGATCGTCCAGTCAAATTGATTCAAAGTTTTCTATTTAAGGAAAACCAGTTAATTGCATCGACTCATTGACTGGAAGGTAATCCCTCACACTAAGCATGCTTGTAGAAACTGCTGGTTCTGCTGGAAACCTCCAGCAGAACCAGGCTCAGTGTGAGCGGCCATCTGCTGAGGCCGACTGGGGTTCAAGGAGACAGAAGCAGAGATACAAAAAGCAGCTGTAAAAGGCGGTCCCATCCAGGAAACACACAGCCAGGCAGAAGAGCCCTGAGCCAGCTCCCATGTCAGAGGATGACGAGAGCACATCCAGCCAGTCACAGTCAGAGAAACAGGACTACACTGAAAAACAGGCCAAGCTCCGACATCCATAAACAAAGGTGTTGATGGCAGCAGCCCAGCTGATATTTCTCTCCAGGATGGAGTCACAGCCAAACAGGAACAGACCAGATGAAGCTACTATGAGAAAAAGCAGAGAGAGCAGAACGTTAGAGATTGAACTAACAGATTCTGCAGACTGGGAGAACAGAGATAGAATGAAGCACAATGATGAAAAGTGGTCCCTATGTCCTCCAGCAGTCTAAGCCTATAGCAGCATATCTATATAAATAGCTCAGGATAACCTGAGCCACTCTAACTATAAGCTTTATCAAAAAGGAAAGTTTAAAGCCTACCTTTAAGAGTAGACAGAGTGTCTGCCTCATAAACATCTAATATTTAATTCTGTAATAAAGACAGAGGTGCGTCTTTTTAAAAATTTGTGAAAATATACCTATAACCTGAAACTGAAGAAACTGGTTCCTCCGCTGACCATATTTAATCCTTACTGTATATTAGCTTGACCTCCACATGTCATGGCAGATTCAAGTAACCGTGGATAATAATAAACGGCACTCATTTTGAAACAAATGTGTTTTTTTATTTTTTTTCTTAAAACAAGCCTTTTTGTTATCATGTTACTCGTCATGAGCAGTGTAGTCAAACATTTCACGTCAGTAAGAGGAGCAACAACTTATTAAGATATTAGTCAAGTAAAAGTAAAAGGTATAGTTGAGTAAAACTACTATTTTTGGCCAAAATGTACTCAGGTAACTGTAACTAAGTAAATGTAACTAGATACTCTCCACCTCTGGCTTCCTCTCTACCACTGACCTGTCTTTCTGGTAACCAAAGACCAAGCAGGCAGGAGAAAGGGACGATGTCAAGAGAAGAAGAGAGCGAGCAGAAACCTGAAGCCAAAAGATTATTTTGGTTTAGCAGTATTTCACAGCAAGATGACTTTCAAAACACCTAAAAAAAGCCAAAGGGGTTCAGTTACAGTCAAATTCAATAAATTATATGTAAAACTCAGTAAAATTTGCTTCAGGTTCATATCTCTGCTACAACAGCTGCTGCTTTGTTTGTTGTTTGGGTTAGAAAACCAGGAAAGAAAAGGTTGCTGCAGCAGAGCATAAAGGCTGGATGTCCAAAACTCACCAGCAGGTTAATGATGAAGTAAGGAAAGACTCCTGTCCTGGCATCAGTTATGGACGCAATAAACCGGTTTGACAGGTTTAGCAATCCAGGGTGAAGAACCTCAGTAGGATCCAGGGTAATCACATTCAATTAACTTAAATTCAGTTTGTTTCTATAGCGCTAATTCACAACACATGTCATCTCAAGGCCCTTTCCAGTTCACCATCATCCAGTCAGATTGATTCAGTTTTCTATCTAAGGAAAACCAGTTCATTGCATCGACTCGTTGACTCAA